TTGACTTTTCCTGTAAAACAGCTTTCATAAGTTATCATGTAATGAGTGCAAAAACTCGTGTTTTGAAGTGCTGCTGTTTGTTGTTTGACTGAACTGAGTTTTGAGAAAGTTTAGCGCTATTAAATCGTGAGTCGTGATTGGCTTATGATGACTTTAGAGAGAAGACATGACTTGATCACGGTACTAAAATCATATTTTTTACCTAAAAGACTCCATTTTAATAAAAGTTATTTTATAAAAGCAATAGACCACACTTTCTATGGGTTTACCGGCGTGATAACCCACGCGGGATGTTGGGAGAACACGAGAAAAGCTTGTAAATCACGAGCCGAACAATAACCCAGTTCTTAAAGTAGTTAACTAATAATAACAAATAGATCTCAACTCTTCAACGAACAAGGCCGCTTTATCAGATTCGCCCACTGTTCTTTGTCAAGCCTAACAATCTTTCTGTTTCTTAAGGTTGAGTTCAAATTTTTCAGTTCTCGTTGGTAGTCTTCACAACTGAGCCACTTCAACAGTCTGGTACTGGACCAAATTAATTCACAAGTCTCTTAAGACCTTGGCGATAATTACTGCTTGAAATAAACAAAATAGTCGGATTTATGGCACAGTTTGCGAAAGCCAGATAGTAGCTAACAGTATAACACACTTCAAAACTACAAGAGGATCGAATAAAACTTTTCGGTGCCGAAAACAGCTTTATCAGCAACATGGTGTAAGAGGGTATCCAGCAAAGAAAAAACGCTAACACGATAGCGATGGCCATTTTCAGCACGTTTCGATTTCTTTTTTTTCGCTGTTCTTCAGCATTGGCCGACTGTTCCCCTGGATGTGCCTGTTTCTTAAGTTTGATCAGGATGATGGAATAAATTGCAACCAACAAGATCATTGGGATGTAAAAGAACACGCTAACACCTGCCAGCATGTAAGTGACCAAGCTTTTTTCTCCGAAGGTTTCCGCCCACAGACTCTCGCACTTCATTTCTTCTGGATTTTCAACGAGTTTGTAAGCAAACAGCTGTGGCGAGGTAACGGCCATCGCCACAATCCACGTTGTCAGAATAAAGAAAGGACACAGCTTGCGACTGAAGAGTGGGGAACGTAGTGGAACTACGACAGCTCCAAATCGATCAACTGCTATCAGAACCAAACTCTGAACCGACACCAAGGAGGATGCCTCAACAAGAAAAGCCAGTAGCTTGCACAAGATCTGACCAAGAAGACCACTAATAAGCCACGAGTCAACGTGTAAGTGTAATAGCCGCATAGGGAGCAAGAATATTGGAAACAACAGGTCAGACAGGGTCATGTTTGCGATCAAATAATTTATCGGCTTTCTTAAGTTTGGTGTTTTGTAAACAATGATTCCGATGAGAGAGTTTCCAACCAGCGAAACAATGAGGATCAAACTTAAGGCAATGGTTTTTCCAGTTTTCGCTGCAGCCGAATTTATTAGACTGGAGCAGTTCCAGGAGCTTAATACATTTGTTGTTGTGTTCATGTCTACCACTTTACCAGTCTCTCTAGAGGTCTGTTCTCGTAAGGCTTAAATATTCTTCAGCAGCTGCTGTTTAAAACTTCCCGTACTTACCCTAAATGCTGTACTAGTAAACCATTGAACGCCTTTCATAAATTAGCGCCCCCGCTAAGAGTTTTCGCCTCGTTTTCCTACCAGAAAATTATAGGTAAGTGTTCCAGGCGCTAATATATATTAAGCATGAAAATGCCTTCAAGATTGTTCATAACTTTTGCGCACTTTGTATTTGGTAATTTCTTTTTCTTTCTTTTTTTTCTTTTTGTAAGGATATCTTTTTTTTGTAATGATATCTTTCGATTTGAATAATGCGCTAGTTTCGCTATTTTAGGGATGAGTATGACAATTATTAGTCAATGAAAATGCAAATGGTGAAATAGAAAAAAGGCAAAAAAAAATTTCTGTCATATACACTTTAATGAGCTTTTTATTCAACTGCGAGGATCATTTCCACTTTTCATAACAATTTATGTTAAACACTTTCTTTTGTTATTCTTTTTTTTTTTCTTTATTGACAATTAGTTTTGTCTGCACATGTCTGAAGATCTTAGGATAAAGGGAGGAGCCGTGCCAAACTCATTTCACCGTTTTTATTATTATTATTATTATTATTATTATTATTATTATTATTAGTATTAGAACGAGTCTACCTACGAGTCTACCTACGTTGTTCTTTATACATAGAATCGATCAGGAGCACCCAACTACTGTTATCAGTAAAATATCTGTTCGGAGAAGCACATGTTGCCTAGAATTTTCTTTTGTATGAGGACAGCTAAAAATGTCTAGATGAACGTTCCATTCATGTTCAATTTTGGAAAGTTATCTAATAAATTCCCTACAATTTTCTGAAGTTTAATTTTTCACATTTTACTACCCAGCTTACACTATTTTTCTTAGAAAAAGGAAACCTAAAATTTTCGGATTCTAAAATGTAATGGACAGAGGAATCAGAAAAATTCTGACTTTCGTAAAACGTTAAATTGCACCTAAAATTTTCGGGAAAATAATACTGAAGCCCTTGCAATTTCGAAAAGCCTCAAGTTCCCCTAGGATGACCGAACAGGACGATGGAGTAAAGTAACAAGAACAGAACAAATGGGATGTAGAAAAACATGATAGCAATAACTGCAAGAAGGTAGTTACTATATGTAGTTTCTCCTAAGGTTTCCGGCCACCGTTTCTTACACTTCATGCCCTTTGGGTATTCAACAAGTTGGAAAGCAATAAGATATGGGGAATGAACGCGCCCCCCCCCCCCCCCCCCCATTCATGTTTCAAGACTGATGAGCGGAGAGCGGAGTTGAACTACAGTAGCTTGAAATCGATCCAATGTTATCAGAATAAGGCTCTGAACCGACACCAACGTGCAAGCGTCTGCAAGGAAACTTGGTAGCTTAGGCAAGGCTTGACCAAGGGGACCACCAATTAGCCACCCGTCAAGGTACATAAGTGTAGGACGAGAAGGGAAGAGGAATATAGGATACAGCAGGTCGGACAAGGCCATGCATGTTTGCGATCAAAAATTTTATCGGCTTTCTTAAGTTTGGTGTTTTGTAAATAATTATTCCGAAGATAGAATTTCCAATCAGCGAAACAACAAGGATCAAACTTAAGGCAATGGTTTTTCTAGCTTTTGCTGCTGCCGAATTCATCAGACTAAAGCTGCCACTTCAAGAACTTGAACCATTTGTTGTGGCGTTCGTGTCTGTACAGTTCAGTGTTCGCGGTAGGTTGAGTATCCCTCAAACAGCTGCTGTTAGTTATGAGGTAACATTAGTGAATGACATTTTTAATTTTTTGCACTTTGAATTTGGAAATTTGTGAAACGTTTTATGATCTATTCGACATAATTGATGCGCTTGACGCCGGATAAAAATGAAACTTGTTAGCCGATACAAATGGACATTTCAAAAAGGGTTGTTTTGATTGGCTTACGACCGCTTCTTCGGTGGTATTTAGTACAGTTAATCGACAGTTTAATACAACTAACGTTTAGACTTTCACCGATGATATAAAGGCTATTATTATGCATTAAAAAAACGCATTTTGCCGTTTCTGATTGGCTCACCTGAATTATTTTTCATAACCTACTGTCGCTTACCATATTTGAGAGATACGGAAAGATTCTTCAAGCCAAAGGTTTGAAGAAAGAGAAGGTAGGCTTGTGCAGAACTTACACATATAGTTTGAATGAATAATAAAACAATTAGTATTGAATTCAGCTTTCACCTGTGACGAAATATGATGATCTCGAAGGCTGATACCACAAAACACTTTCCCTGATCTACATAATTATATTCGTCACATCACTCAGTCTATTCAGCCTCATTTAACAGTCTTTAATTAACAAGACCAGAATCTGACTCGGCTTAAAAGCATTTTTCACGGAATTTCTTTAAATATATTATCGCCAACTTACTATTATGGTCAAATTCTGTCTTCACGTTGGGCAACGTACTAATTGACTTCAAATCCCAATCTCGACCCCAGAGCTCTTCTGCGCGTGACCGCCAGGGAGGACGAGCTCTGGGGAACCCTGGAAATAGATTGTCTCTGATCGCACGGGAGCGTTTGAATGTGCGATATGTCAGGCTTGTGAGCGAGTTTCCCCCCTAAAACTGTTGAAGTAAAGGATTAAATTAACTGCAAAAACCGTGGACGAAGATCCTGCTAGTTGTAAACGTTGGATCTCTAGAAAAGAGATCAAATCAGCCAAAATATAAACAACCAAGAACGAGAAGTCCAAAGACTACTGCAAAGCTGATTTAAAACAACGTGTATTGTTTTTTATAACAATATTTCGGCTGGCCATACCAGCCTTCTTCAGGTTTACAGATGTTACTAAAAATGAAGAAGGCAGGTATCAGTGTTGTATGGCCAGCCGAAATATTGTTATAAAAAACAATACACGTTGTTTTAAATCAGCTTTGTTGAAGTAAACACGCCCGGCTGATGGGCAGCTACTCCGGCCGATTCTTGATTTCAGCGATTCAAAACAACATTTGCACGACTAATCACAGGCGGCCCAAACTCTGTGGGAGTTCGTTGGGACTTTGATGTTTGGATGATGGATTCTCCAAGGAAACAATGCATAGAAATCAAAGCCCCCCCCCCCCCCCCCCCCCCCCCCCCCCCCCCC